TGGCATGGATGATTACGTACTAACCATGTCCCGAGTTTGCTTCCTTGTTGCTTTTTGTTCATCATCCATCTCTTCTCCCTTCATGTCTATTCTATGTTTTGCAGTGGAGGCAAAAAAAAATCACAGAAATAAAAATGGCAGCATATGTAAAAATGATTTTAAAAAATGGTTAATATTGGCAGATCAAATACGGCCACCAAGCAGTAAAATGAGTTCAAATGTTTTGGCCACATCTACAAAATTCCATGTAAAGATGAGGTTGGGACACATGATTGTGAGGTCTCACGTCCGGTTCCAGCTCTGCTGCAGTCACACGCGGTGCCTGGTGACCTGCCTGCATGTATTGTTTCCCCCTCCTGAACTTTCTGCTGACTGCCTTATTATCTGAGTGTCTTTGCATATCACAGAGGACACATTTCAAAGAGTATGTCATCTATCTGAAGGCCACAGCAGGGGATGAATCACAGTTAAATCACAGTTATGAGATGCAAAGCGAATACACTTTGACACTTATTACGTCTGCAGGGTTTTCTGTTTACTTGACTTGTTTAGTCTCAGATAAAAGTCACAGCACTTTAGAGATCAAATAAATATTGCAACCGGTATTACTTTTGTAATTTAAAAAAATTACATTTTGCAATCTGGAGACTGAGCAGTCTGGAGAGATCCCCCCCCCCCCCCTGTTGACTGAAAAAACATGTTTGGCTTTCAGACACCATTTTAAAGAACTAATGAGTCAGTAAAACAGAATCAATATTTGACCCATTTATGTTTAATTTTCCCCAGTGGACATCGGCCAGTGGGAACTTTCATGAGGCAGCAGTGTACTTTTTGGAGGCTCCATTTTTGGACACACACGAGGTTCAAAGTACATCAAAGCTGTGACCTCAGTGGGGACTCCGCAGCCTCTCCAAAATCGCAGTAATGAGGGTCCAGGCTTGATCCTCTGCACAAATCACCGGGGGTCAGACTGCCACCGGAAAATTTGGTCTGATGGGTCAGTAGCTACAGGAAGTACTAAAGCTCATGAGGATGTATTGGTGATTATGCAGTGGAGGGTACACAGAGAGCTGGCCAGCCTGCAGCTGAAGCCCCGCAGGTCTGCGGGACTCTACAGCTGAGACCAAGGCTTTTATTTCAGCCGAGGAATAAACAACACACACACACACAACAAAGAGCACTTTTAACACATCCTCTTTCTGCTGACCTGTAAACTTGTAGGGTGGTTTCTTATGCATTTGGTTCTGATGAAATGAAACCTGTTAGGAATGTGGCTCCCACCTTCTTATTGATAAGCAACAAAAAGGTGAAAATCTAAAGGAACATCTGACCACGTATAAGGTGGAACAACTTATTGTTCTACCTGTTAGCTAACATTAGACAACAGCTTACATAAGCACACACATAACTGTTAGAAAATGTTACACAATTAGATAGAAAATGTCTTCATTCTAAGCTAATGTTAGCGTTAGCTATAGCTGTAAGTTTATGCAGGAACATAAGCTAGGATTTCACACTTATTTGATGACCCATTTGATACGGTTAGACATTGTGTAACTTTAGTGTTTAGCTACTTCATAGCTAGATTTTATCTGGTTGTGTTACATGGTAAAATCGGAAAGGGGGAATATTCCTTGCTAACATCGATTTCAGCTAACTAGGTTGTCTGCTGATGTTAGCACCTGTGGCTAAGCTGTTGTTAATGGGTTTCCAAGTATGTTGTCTTAACCTGATGTATGGTTCCTCAGGATTTTCACTGTCTATTATTTTGCATTGAGGATGCGCCGAAGTAATAGCAATTTTTTTGATTCAACACATTATAAGGAAATACAAACCTATAACAACATTTAATCATCACACCGTGAGTGAGACGCCAAATGGCCGCCATTTGATTAAACTGTGTGTGCTTAAATATGTAATATCGTCAACAAATCTCAAGACCAATCAAAGAAGAATTGTCTTTATCCAAAGCTATTACCTCAATCATCCATGCCAAAGGTACACTTATTTATTGTTTACAAAGAAATATACTAAGGAAATTCAACCTTCTTAAGAACGATTTTTTTATGTTCAGATATGTTTCTAAAGATGAACATCCTCAGCAGGACCAAAATAGCCTCAACTTATTTTCAACAGGAGAAGTGCAATGAACCTGTATAGATCTTGATGGTCTATTGATCTTGATCTTTTTATTGTGATAGGGTCAAAAACCATCATAACAGTTTTCTCTTAAGTTTATAACCTATTCATATTGATAAATCAAAACCCCTTTATACACCTGTGACAGGTTAAAAATGCTATTTGTTATGTCTTATGTATTTACCTCCCAAAGGGCATTATTTGAAAAGCCAACCTTTTTGATCAAAGTGTCATGGATTAATTGACGTATTGATCGGGCCGGGGCTTGCAGCACTTCAGTCTGTGGAGGTAGGATTTATGCAGGCTCAGTCATGGTTCACTTGACTGACCTGGTTATTGAAGCCAGAGCTATTTTTGGGCCCGGGCTCACAGTGTGCAACTGAAGATTGGCCAGGTCCTATCAGTCAATGATAGAGCAGGTGAGGAGCAGCACAGATGTCATCGGCTGTCACACGTTGGTAGATGCTGTATATATTGCAGATATGTTATAGATTACACTGATATACTGTATGTGAAATTCTGTTATTGCACACAGAAGTATCCTTTTGTAACTAAAGAATGACGTTTAAAATGAGCAAGAACCAAATGTGGTCAAAATGTCTTCTTTCTTTTGGCCATACTTGTGCTTGTGTAGTAAAAAAAAAAAAAGCCTTTAATTTCAAAGAAAAAAATGCAATAATGACAAATCAAATCAGAACAGGATTTCCACTGAGCCAATCAGAATCTCCCTTTCCCACTGACGTGCGAAGCATCAGGGTACCACAAACTGGAAACCGCTGACACAGAAGGTCATCAAAGTTGGCCACAGTTAGACTTTCACTTGACATTTTGTCTCTCTGCGTCAAATCATCATCATCACATGCTTCTGTTTTTACGTACATACATAAGAAATTCACTCAGCACTCGCCAATTCTTCAGCTTAATTGCTGGTCAGAGTAAACATCAGATATTTAAACAAGGGTGGAAAGTTTCGTCTGAGGTTTATTTGTGCACAAGCTTGAAAAAATACTTGAAGTATTGACTTGCTGCACAGGGAAAAGATGAGGTCAAAGAGTGGACCTTTGGGTTTTCCTTGGAGCCAGACTAACTGCTGGATTCTGGAGAAGTTCTGTGTTGCAACATGTTCAGGGAATCACTCATAAATGGAAAAAAAAAAAAGCTGTGAAGGTGAGTGAATTATGGGGCTTTTTTACTTCCTGATACTCTGCTGAAGAAGCTCAGCGGGACCAAAACCTACTCCACAAGTCTCATAGGAATTAATATGATTTTCTTATATTCATATAGTCTCATACAGACAGGATTTTAGTGTCCACATAACATGGCTCCATGCTAGATGTCAATTTTTCTGTACTCATTTCTAAGGGTGTAACAGTTAGTTAAATCAATTCAGTGGCGAGCAACTCGAGTCTGTTGGGACTAGAGTTGAGAACCTGAGGTTTGCAGATCAAAGAACAGCATTTGAATTCATAGGATCCTGTTTGTGCATCTGTGTGTATTCCTGGCTCGTGTGTGTGTGTGTGTGTGTGTGTGTGTGTGTGTGTGTGTGTGTGTGTGTGTGTGTGTGTGTGTGTGTGTGTGTGTGTGTGTGTGTGTAGCATGAAAGCAGCAACCTTCAGTGTTGAAAAAATAAAGCCAATGCCGAAGTGCAAAATCCTGCAGTTCATTGAGTGTCTGCTTGAGGCTGGCTGCAGAAGCACCGGAAATCACACACTCAGTCATAAAAGCCAGCTCTAATACTATTATAACATCATTTCAAAACCAAACCCAGCAATTTCTTTCTGCATTGTATGTACAGTAAATAAAAAGCACCTATACATATCAGACAAAATATACACTGGTATTAAATGTGTGATAACATGGTATAAACCACATTATATTGGCTTATATATATATATAAGTTAGACTTTCACTTGACATTTTGTCTCTCTGCGTCAAATCATCATCATCACATGCTTCTGTTTTTACGTACATACATAAGAAATTCACTCAGCACTCGCCAATTCTTCAGCTTAATTGCTGGTCAGAGTAAGCATCAGATATTTAAACAAGGGTGGAAAGTTTCGTCTGAGGTTTATTTGTGCACAAGCTTGAAAAAATACTTGAAGTATTGACTTGCTGCACAGGGAAAAGATGAGGTCAAAGAGTGGACCTTGGGTTTTCCTTGGAGCCAGACTAATAGCTGGATTCTGGAGAAGTTCTGTGTTGCATGTTCAGGGAATCACTCATAAATGGAAAAAAACCCAGCAATTTCTTTCTGCATTGTATGTACAGTAAATAAAAAGCACCTATACATATCAGACAAAATATACACTGGTATCAAATGTGTGATAACATGGTATAAACCACATTATATTGGCATATATATACTCACATTATAATACTTACACACTTTCATTTAGGCTCTGCATCATAGGACTTCTGCTTGTGGAGTATTTTCACTCAGAAGTGTTAACGCTTCTTTGCTAAAGTAAAAGATTTGACACTTGTTGCACCATCGATTTTAGATACTATATTAAAGGTGTGCTCTTTTGATAATACTTCCAAACTTTACTGCAACCCTTTGATTTAAGGAGCGATGGGGCTTTAACTTGTTTTATGTATTTTTATTGCCTTATTAATTATTATTGCTCTACCTGCAGCTGAAATATGGCACGTAATGAAAAGAGTCCTCTGTATTTTTCAGAGGGTCACACACAGTTTTCCCTCTGACATGGGAGGGAGAAGAGAGAGAGAGAGAGAGAGAGAGAGATAGAGGGCTGGATTGATGGGTGGGTGTAGGGGGAGGATTCTTCTGGTGGGAGGGAGACAGGGAGGTGAGGGAGGGAGGGTGGTGCTGAATGAACAGCTCCGCGGCTCATAAAGTAATCAGAGAGCTCTCCTCTGCTCCTCTTGTCAGAGCCAGCCATGAACCAGCCGAGCTCCCCGTCCTCCAGACCCGCGCCGACTCTCCGCCCGTCTCCCTGACTCTCACCGAAGCACCATGAAGAGGCAAAACGTGCGGACCCTCGCACTCATCATCTGCACTTTCACCTACCTGATCGTCGGAGCGGCGATCTTCGACGCGCTGGAGTCCCAGAAGGAAACGAGCCAGTGGAATAAGCTGAAACTGCGCAAAGATGAGCTGCTCAACACCTTCAACCTGTCCTCGGCGGACTTTGACGAGCTGGAGAAGGTGGTGCTGCAGCTCAAGCCGCACAAAGCGGGGGTGCAGTGGAAATTCGCCGGCTCGTTTTACTTCGCCATCACTGTGATCACCACTATAGGTAAGAGAGATTTACTCTGAGGTCAGCTCTGGAAACTTTTATGTCACTGCAGAGGAGACAAGCTGTCATGAATAATTATCATTCTTCAGTTTCTGTTTGATTTGAGGCAACATCCATGACTGCAAACTGTTAAAAAAAAAGGTTAACATATATCCAAACATAGCCTAAATGTTTGACAGACACAAAATAATCAAATTCCCACAGAGAAGAACAGGACAGACAGCCTACAGCAGAATCAACACTATCACTTATGTGAACTTATACAATGAGCACTAGGTAACATGTTATTTTAGCTTTAACACACATGGGGAAAGGCCCCTTCATGCAGCTGGTATTAAGTACAACAGGTAGCCTTTAAACTCTGCATCTATTATGCAAATTACATTTTGAGGGATAGGCTATAAAAGTGGCACAACTTGGATATGAAATATTTCATGACTGGTATTGGCATCAAAATCAAAGTTAAGTGTCCAATATTGAAGTAGGCCTACAAGCAGTTGCACCAATGTGTTTTATTATTATTATTATTATTTATTGTTATAATAATGCATTCATGTGTGGCATTTATCTGCTGTAGCCATCCCACTTAGATTTCTTTTCAAATGTATACTAACATTTCTATTCAATGCATCTTAATTTGTTAAACAATCATTTATTTTGTGTGTAAATCTACGAAAAAGGGCAGTGGAAGATATGTTTAATTTTCCCCTCCAGATGTGTACAATAATGAAAATACTCTGAAAAAATCTGAAATTCGTCACCAAGAAAAATACTTTTAAAGGAGACCAAATGATTTAGTCAAATAATACTGTGTTCATAAAAGCATGCTTATTGGCACATTTACATTATAATATCACAAATGGAGAAAAGATCATCTATATTTTTATAACTAAGATGAAAGTAGTCAACCATAAATTAGAATTTGCTCTAAACACTAAAACATTTTTTAACTTTCTTCTTATTGGATTCTTGGATTTTTGAAGTCACAGTAAAAAAAAAAAAAGTAATCAATTAGCAAACATTACAGAATCAGAAAGAAAGACTGAGTATACCTGAACAAAAACAGAAACTTGTTGAACAGCTTTCCATCAGAGGTTTTCTACTGGTGTATTGAGTTGTAATTTTCTGCAGCGTAGGAAAAGTTTGCCTCAAAGTCAAATAGTCAGGAGCCACGTGAAGGAGGATAAATGACAAGCTTCTGTCCCAAATGAAAGTCATTAGAGAGGATGCTTCAGACGTTTCAGTTATGAGACATTCATTTGTGCTCTTGCTCATTGATCGTGCAGCATCAAACATCAAAAAGCTCCCCCGGCTCTTCACTCACTTTATTACACAGCCTTCATGTAGAGCCTGTTAGCTTTACTGATTGAATTAACTGGGCAGCTGAAACTGGGCAGCTGATTGGCTGAAATCCACTACCTGGCAGTCAAATGAACTGGAGGAGAAGAATATTCAGGCAAAAGCTCAAATCACAACAAGAAAGATAAAAGATAAGTCACAGCTACAGAGTAAACTTGGTTGGAAGCTACGATGAGCTTTAAGAAGCAGTTGCTTTTCAAACTTTACAGCAAGCTCAGAGCAAAATGGTGTAAAGATGGACAACACACTTGAGAAATACAATTACATCCTACATTAGCTGTTGCATTACACTTAATCTAATGAAGGTGTTGATTTCATCAGACAACCTGAGATTTATCCCCTCTTGTCATTTGTGAACGACATAGAAAGGAGAGATCATATTTTGAAACCCCAGTAGGGGCCTCAGTACTCAGTAAATAACATTTCAAATGAGGTACTTTTTTATTTTACTCGAGTAGATTCAGAGACTGCTCATTTTACCTTGAGTAAAAGGTCATCAAAGTAACTATACTTTTAATTGAGGAGGATATCTTAACACTCGGTCTAAGACTTCAGAATACAAATTAGAATCAGAAATGCTTTATTAATCTCAGGGGGAAATTCGGTTGTTTCCATTGCTCTAAGACAAAATACAGAAGTAGGAAATATCGAAAAACGTAAGAATGTAAAAACAAAATAGAATAGATATATTAAAATAAGCAATAAACAAGCAACAAGTACCAGGTAGGATTGGAATAGTAGGCTATGTAAAAGCGCAGTGACTTAAAGATCAAACATAAATAAATATTTACAGTTACTAATACACAAAAGAGTTAAGCAGTGTGGATATTGCGCAGTGTATTTATAGGGTTCAATATGAACAAAAAAATGTATGACAGGTTATGACAGATTGCACGATTACACATAACACTTTAAATATTGGAGAATGATACAAAAAAAAAAAAGAATGCATCATTTACCTCACGCTTGTAATTCAACACTCTGGCTGTGTCCAAAATGTCATAGTACACTCTTCATACCTAATGCTGTCCTTTTGTTTAACATGATGGTGTGTGAAGAAGCAGTATCATGTGACAAATTGTAACTGTTGTAGTCTGTAGTCACAACAACTGTGAGTCTGCACACACGACAATATGTAGAAAGGATGAACTTATATAAAACACACATTATGATAAGTGAAACGGCTCATATTACACTTTAATTAAAGTGTTTTTATTCTATGCCTGAGATGCCTCAGTTGTGTTGCGGCAGTAGTCTGTTATGTGGTTTATGTTGTCATAACTATTGCATTGTGGGATATTTGAGCTGAAGTGGTTTTAAAGTGATTGTACTGTAATGTTGCCTCATGATTCAAGTGGATTGGAACATTATTGGTTTCATACTGAGGGTCTTCTGGTAAATACTTGAAACTCTCAAATGTTGTTTAACTATGTAAATTATTAATGTAGAGAATGTAAACATTGAAGCAGATGGTTTTCCACCAATGAGTCCAGTTCTAATGCCTAATAAAGTATTTTTTTGCTTCTTGCTAGTGTTGCTAAGTGCTTACAGGAGGACTAAGAAGGGTCTCTGTAAATGTTATTAAAAAGAGTAGGTTTAGACCTGTTTAGTTTCTAGATTTAATTTGACTTATTTAGGGGTCTTTAAAAATGGAACAATTATAAATAAAAACAATACACCAAAAAGAACCCTTTGGCCCCTTGAATATTAAATTCTTCTGAAGTTCTCCTGAATCTTTTATTTTGAAAGGAGGACTTTTCCTGTGAAAACATTATCTAACATGAAGCAGAATTTGGATTATAAAATCAAAATAATTAACGTTAGTTACAAAGCAATCTTCCAAAGTTGGCTCAAATTAACTAACATTAGCCTCAACCACCTCAACATACACAGATTTACCCGAATCTGGACTTTAAACATTGAAATATGCTAGGGATCTTTTTTTCAGATGGTCCACTTCGTATATAAAGTCCAGAGACTTTATAATGGACGGTACAAAGGATGTATTATGTATTATGATTTATTTATGTTGAAATGACCCCTGTGTGGACCAGATCTACCCGCCGCTTCAAAATGATTTTGGAGAAATGTTGAGAAAAATATAGTTTCTGTCTTCCTTTTAGCAGAGACATGAACAATATATGAAACTAAAGGAGAAAAGTTTATTTAGTGACTTGCTGTTCTTAGACAGTATAGGTGATGAATGGTTTAAATCAGGTATTAGAGGAGAAGACCGGATTTCAATTTGTTTTCCACCAAATGTCAACGTTGAAATCACAGCTCGTGCTCACTGGTGGGTCTCTCATGTTGTTTTAATTTGTTAGGAGTCGTCCTTATCACCTTCTCTCAGCTTTCCCTGTGTAGTTTGTAACCAGGGCAGTTGTCAGTGGTGACCTGTGACTTGAAACCCTATCAGATGTTAGCAGCTAATTGCACACTAACCCAACTCCGGGTGACTGTGACTGCATTCTGTAATTGTGAGCCCAGCGGCTGCTGCAAACACAGTGATTGGCTGCTTCAGCCTGCCATTAAGTATTAATGACAACACCAGAGCCTCACTGTTCCATCCAGCTCCTGGCACACAACATTAACACTGTAGATACCGCACTGTACACACGATATCCTGCAGCCATGACTTACAGTAAAGTCCACAGAGTGAGGCACAATACCACGATAAGACATCTGATTCACAAAGCTTTTATGATTAACTCAATCAGAGCTAAAGCTGGGATTTATTTAAAAAAAATTATCCTGATAAAAGAGAGGCTAAAACTACTTCTGTCACTTACTGACGTACAGAAATAGAACCTCTTATTTCCTGTCATATTCTTAAAAGTTCTAAAAGTCATGTCACATATGAGAAGTGTTGGCTTTCAGATTCACCACAGGACCAGGGTGCTTCACTTTATGTGAATGGATTTCTGGATGAAACCGGGCTCCTACATGAGGAAAACAACAGACAATAAGCCGAGAAAAATGATATTTAAAGCTTTAGTTACAAACATGTGCATGTCTCACTACCAAACAGGCTGCAGGAAACAGCGAACACATGATAAAATCTGGCCCCCGCAGCATGCTCTTACTATAATTAAACTTAAGTGAAGTAGGGAGGAGAAGCCACAGTTAGTTATCAGTCATCACTTTCCACAGAGGAAAGAGGAGGCACAGGGCAAAGTGTCCATTTACAAACCAAATGTGATATACAGTAGGTGATAATAAAAAAAAGAGCTTTAAGCAAGAAGAAAACATTCTTTTTTATTATTTCATTGTTTTCATCACAGAGTACACAGGCAACAAAAATGGATACAAACAGATATGAGTACTCTATCAAATCCATAGAGAAAAGAGAGAAACTAGTGAAGATCTTTTGTAAAAGAGTCTTAGAGACTTGTATTCAAGCGGCAACCTCCGGTCTTGAAAAATGAAACCAATGCAGAAGTGCAAAATCCTGCACGACTGGCAAAAAGCAGTTTCGACAGCAGAAATGAACATGTTTACAGGACGACACAGATCATCAGGGCGGTACGTTTCCGCCTTATTGGCATGGTAGCGACCGCCTTTCCACCAGCTAGCAAAACAACAACTTCAACGTCTTTTATATCCAACTTAAATTCTCTGTCTGTGGGAGTGTTCAAAGAAAA